TATACATCTCACTCATGAGGTAATTTTATATAGGATGGATGATCAAGTGTGTTTTAGGTAGTCATTTGTATACGGTCGGTCGCGCTGTTTGGTTACCGTACCGACGACATGGTGAATAAGTCTCTTGGAATAATACAGCCAAGTCCCCACCACTTGTTTATACATTTAGTAACAAACATTCACGCGGAATTAACCCTTTTCAAACAAACGGAACTTCAAAGGTGTTAGTAAGAGACAAGTGTGTGTGTGTATGTGTGTGTGTGTGTGTGTGTGTGTGTTTGTGTGTGTGTGTGTGTGTGTGTGTGTGTGTGATTCTATCTCAACTGAGTTACTCTGCCAGCCTTCCTTCCTTCCTTCCTTCCTTCCTTCCTTCCTCTCATTTTCTTTCTTCCCTCCCTCCTTTTCCTTCTTTCCTCCCTCCCTCCTTGTTTTCTTTTCCCACTCCCCATCCCTCCCTCTCCCCCCTCCCTCCATCCCTCCCTCTCTCTCCCTCCATCCCTCCTCTCCTCTCCTCCGTATCCCTCCCTCTCCCTCCCTCCATCCCTCTCCTCTCCTCTCTCCCTCCATCCCTCCCTTTCCCTCCCTCCATCCCTCCCCCCTCCCCTCCATCCCTCCCTCCCCCCTCTCCCTCCCCCCATCCCTCCTCTCTCCTCTCCCCCTCCCCTCCATCCATCCTAGCCACTTTCCATATTCCATCCCTATAACTCATCTTCTTACTCTTTTATTACCCCCTTTTTACCTCTCTGCTCTCTTCCCCATTTACCACTCTGCGTCAACACTTCTCGTTTCTCTGCTTATTCTCTATTCTTCTCTTTATCTCCCATTCTTTATTTATTATATCTCTTATTTTTCCCCCTTTTTCTTCCGTCTCCTTCCTCTTCTTCCTCTCCCATCCCCCTTCCTCCTCCTCCTTCTTCTCTTCCTCTTCTTCTTTCCCACCCTCTTCCTCCTTCTCTTCTCTCCCACTTCACTCCTCCTCATCCAACTCCTTCCTTTCCACTCTTCTCTCTTCTCACAAGCCATTCAATCGACTCCCCTTCCTTCACACCCCTCATAGCTGGGGAGAGATAAGAGGAGGGAAGAAGTGGAGGAAGGAGGGAGAGGGAAGGTTGACTAGTGGGGAGGGGTAAAGAAGTGTGAGAGGTGGAGTGAGTGGGGAGGGACGTGGTGAGGGGAAGAGTGGGGGAAGGAAGTGGAGGGGAGAGGAGGGGTGGAGATGGGATGGGAAGGGAGGGTTGGGGAGGGGAGGGGAGTTATCACAGGTCAAAGGAGAAGTATGGTCGGGAGAGTAAATTTCCCGGCGGGTAAGTGGGTGGTCGCTGGAGACTGCACATTGGAGTCACTTCCAGGACTCGCGTAAATTGTCTGGCTTAAATAAAAGCGTTGTGTGTGCTCGGCCCAGCCTCCTCCTGCACTGGTGGTGGTGAAAGGTGGTGTTGGTGGTAGTGTTGGTGATGGCAAGGGATAGTGGTGATGGTTTTTTGGTGGGGTGGGCACTGTAGATTGTTGGTTGTGGGGTTGGTGTTGGTGGTGGTGGTGGTGGTGAGGATAATACATAGGTTGGTAGGAGTAGTTACTATGTTTGCAGTTGTTGAGAGGAAAGGAAAAAAGATTCTTTCCTCTCAAATTCCTCTGTTTGTGTTGGGTTTCATTGATGCTTTTGATACTTAAATGACGACTCAGAGCACACACACACACACACACACACACACACACACACCACACACACACACACACACACACACACACACACCCACACACACACACACACCCACACACACACACACACACCCACACACACACACACCCACACACACACACACACACACACACACACACACACCCACACACACACACACCCCACACACACACACACTAAATACCTTCACTTCCTGTACTTCAGTGTTTGAGGTTTTATGTTATTGTATGTCTCTTGTTACTCTGGCTTCTGGGGAACATTATCTTTCCTATAGCAATCAAATGTCTCTGTAGTGGGATGTGAAAAGTTAACATTGTATACATGGAAATACTCACTCACTAACTCACTCACTCACTCACTCACTCACTCACTCACTCACCCACCCACTTCTCACGGTACTTCGTTCATTTACCGATACTTTACCTTTTTTTTTTCCAATATTAGTCAACTATGATAAAAATACGACCCATATTTTATCATCTTTGTCAATAAGACGTCGGCTGCAGGTCCCCCACCCACAGTACCTTATACACGCCGTGGATTATAACCTCGAGGATTAGTGGTTGTTGGAGTCTCGTGTAGTTGGTTGGTCACTCATGCATCCTGTCCACCAATAAACTCGTTGTTATCTCTGGCGCCATGGTTAATGCGCTCCATTTGTAATCGAGAAGTCCTGGGTTCGAAGATGTGCAATTTAACCTCTCTATTCAGCTGTGTGTGTGAAGTTTAGTTTTGGTTGGGGAGTTGTCCGATCTATCTGAGCTGTAACTTGAAATCAGTCATTTATATTTTCCCATTATCTGGAGGTGTAAGAATGTAACCTTGAGTATTTTACTTAGGTGCGACGAAAATGTCATCGAAATAGAGCTGAGACTTGACACATCTTGGATTGTCCTCTGATTTGGACCTTTTCGTATAACGCTACACCCCCCCCCACCAAAAAAAAATACAAAATTAAATAAATCAAGAAAAAAATTCCTCTCCTGTTTTGTTTCATTAGCATCGTTTTTTACTGACTTCTCCTGTCCCTCTTAACCTTTCTTTATTCTCGTCTTGGCTTTCTCCCACTTTCTTCTTATTAGCATCACTTTTTATTACCGTCTGTCCCCCATAAATTCTTTTTTTATACTCTTCCTCTTTCCTTTCTCTCTCTTTCTCTTCTCTTCGGCGTCTCAGTCTTTTACTTTTTGTCTTTGTTTTAAATTTTTCTTCGTTAGTCTTTGTTTTCTCTCTTCTTTACCTCTCCCTTTCCTATTCCTCTTTACTGCCCTCTTGTGTTATTTCCTTCTACCTTTTCTTATTATTTTTATTTATTCTTTCTCTTGTCTCCCTTTTCTTCCTTGTGTTTCTTTCTTCTCCGTTTCCCTGCTCCTTCTCCTCTCCCTATCCTCCTCCCTCTCCTTCCTCTATCTCCCTCCTCCTACCCTATCCATTTTCCTCTTTCCTCCCTTCATCCCCCTCCCTGCTCCTGCTGCTCCCCAACACCCTCCTGCATAACCCCTCCCCAACATCACAGATCCACTTATCTGCCCACACTATAGCTATTTGTCTCTGGTCGAGGATATTCAAAACCATAGGAAGAGGAGGTGCTCTCAAGTGACATATATTGATTTGATCAGGTTAAAGACGAGAGACAACAATCAGGTCTTCCCCCATTACCCCGGAGAAGCTGTGGGCGTTTATTATGACGGCATCTGGAGGAGACACAACAAATTAGAGAAAAATTAACAAAATGTGATAATGGCAGGAAGAGAAGAGAAGGCAAGGGGAAGTGAAGTGGGGGAAGAAGTGCCTTGAAAGTTGACAAAGTGCTTAAGGTTAGGTTAGGTTAGGTTAGGTTAGGTTAGGTTAGGTTGAGAGATAATTACGATAATTTATTTATAGAGATGAAATGACATAAATAATCACTTGTTTGTTGATGTTATGTTTAAAGACACTGAAAATTGAGAAGAAATCAAATTTTATAAAACATTAAACAGTATATTTTTCTCTCTTTTCAGTACATCTATACAAGGTCTCGATCAGCACCCTCTACTAGCCTGGGAAGAGGTAAGTAAATCACTATATTCTGTCGATGTAATGTTAATATTATGTAGTATTCTATAGATCATGTTCCTCGAAAGGTTGAATATATGTGTATAGTCGTAATTTGTTTTGTATCATTTGGGTGATAAAGAATGAGACGACCTTTTTTTGCTTTTTTTTATTACAGGACGATTAATACATTATAATTTGTTTGTATATTATAGTTTGGTATGTTTCACTGTCACCACCCTGGATATACATGGTTAGCTGAGGTAGAGTTGGTTCCTCGGTGTTAGTCTCGGCGTGAAGAAAAATACCAAGTTTTTGTTTTGTTTTGAGGCAAGAATTCAAATTATAAGCTTATTGACGATGCTGGTGAAATAGGCTCTAATTCTAATTTGTCTCTTGTCTTATATACCTATGACCTAGGTAATAGTAGTAGCAGTATCTAGTAGACCCTAATATAATAGTCCTATTTATTGAGAATTCCCTATTCCTACACACACACACACACACACACACACACACACACACACACACACCGCTACGGAAGTCGGGTGAAGCCTCAGATGGCTTCGGGTGATCACAGTACTATAATATTTCAAGAGAATCACCCAAGAAGCAAAACTGGGCTTTGTGTCGTCAGATTTATGGTGTGTTTCCTCAGCTCTCACGCCGGGGGAAAGTTCTACAGGAAAATGGTCACAATTCTCCTAAGTTTAAATTACAACAGAAGGCAGTGAGTGGAACTTTGTCATTCATGAAATATAGTTTTGAACAGGAAATAGTTATATGGTGTGTGTGTGTGTGTGTGTGTGTGTGTGTGTGTGTGTGTGTGTGTGTGTGTGTACTACTTGGCATCATTCAGGTGTTTAAATTGTGTTGTTCTTGGTATTTACGGGACCAGGTGGAGGGGCGTAACAGCAGCATGAAGGTGTGGACCAAGGAAGTATTTTTGGCGATTTAATTTGTTTACCTGATAATTGCTAAACTCTCTTATCTGTGGTACTAATAACTCCTGAGCTCGTTTCTTTAAGACCTCTTTTTCATATTGACTTCATAACTCACTTTTGCTTATGGAATCAAATACCTTTTTCATGTAACTTTCTTTCCTTGATTCCTTCCTGGACGAGTTGAATAATAGTTTGTGTTCTTGTAGTTCTTTTTAAACCCTTCCAGTTGTCTTGGTTAAGTGAAACTAATTGTTCTGTTGTTATTTTCGTCCGGATCTCCCTTACAGTAGTGGCTAATAAAGTGGATGATTAAAACACATAGCTATCATGAAAATGTACTCATATTACGTCATACATAAACTACATGTGTACATCAGTAGAGTCACAAGGTACCCGAGCGCTTGACGACACGGAAGTCAAGCAGTGTTCTCGAGTGTACAGAAACCACTATAGAAGAATAATGCACAATATCACCGCCAGAGATTGTCTTCATACAATCTAAAAGTCGAGAAAAAAATCAAAGGTACCAAGACAAATTCTTGATCTCCGCAGCCCGCTGCCGTCTTGGTCGGGTTAAGGAACAAAAATATAGACCTCCAGTAGACAGAGGGAAGAATAAACTTCTTAAGAAAGAGTTGCTTGGCCAGTAGACCGATTCTATTGTGTCTGTGTCTCTAGTTTCGTCTAACATAATACATCGTCGAATACAAAACCTGCCGAAGGTTGACGTAGGAAATGAGCTTCCGTCCACTGGTGTTGACGAGACTCAGGAAATGACGAAGATACAACCAGGAAACCGAAAAGGAGAAAGTATCTCCGCGTTTTTAATTAATTATTACCTCACGGGGTTGACTCATCCAGGTGTTGAGTTGGCGAATAAGCCTGAGGTGAGCTGGGGTGTACCAGACCTCCAGTCACCCGGGCTACACTGGTCATCTGTCTCTTGTCAATCCTCCTAGGAAAGAGAGAACTCCCCCTAGTCGTTTCTCACATACATTAGTCCCCCGAAGAGCGAAGCGTCGCGTCGGGGTACATGTGAGCCGCTAGTGAAGACGAAGCTACGAAATTTTTAATGTATTTTTTTTTGATGACTTAAATAACACATGAAATAATAAGGTCCATCCTAAGCGTAAATATAAAGCGTGCATGTACAGCATCAGTTCACAGGAGGACATTCTTGACACATTGTACAAGTCGCTTATAGGATTGGTATATTTTTTTTAAATCCGGTTTCACGTCTGTTAAACTAGCCAATATTCATAATAAATATAACGTTTAACGAAGACACAATATTTTTTTCTTCAATTACAAAATAAAATACTTGAGGTGAAAGATAGAAGAAAAAAAGAGAGAGAGAGAGAGAGAGAGAGAGAGAGAGAGAGAGAGAGAGAGAGAGAGAGAGTTGGTAGCCTGACTCGTTATAAAATAGCACAGGTAAATCCTATGTGTGGCCTCCGCATCCACTTACACCGACAGTCCATTTAACTTCTCCATCCAGGATTCTCACCCACCCCAGTAAGTCACCTCACAGTCCTGCTCCGAATTCTTAAATATCTCTTGCAATTTCATGGGACTTACAGGGGCTAAATAAGTGATTGTTATTGGTGTTATTGGTGGTTTAGAGAGACGTAATGGACTTTCATTAATGAGAGTCAAGTTTTTATTTATTTTGGGGGGGGGGGCAATATTGATCTTAGTTGTCCAGGAAGTTTGTGTTTTTCCTCATCTAAGGAGGAAAAATATATTAGAGGACAAGACGAGAGATTCAATCACTTTACTCAGTCTTTTTGTTCAGGGTTCGTACATGTAGCCACCGCTAAGAACTGAGTCTATATCATTATCCACTCTTTGTAACACTATTATTACATCATTATTGAGGTGCTAAAATAACATCATTATAAACATTAGAACTAAAACGTCTTATTAGTTCCTGTATTTTGCATTTTGTGGTTAGTTAGTTACTGTAATGATCATCTGAATTTACAAGCACTTTTTCCCTTTTTTTTTTTTTGATCTGGTGATTGACGAGACAGTGCAATGTGTGTTGGTCCACAGCTCATCAGTAATAACACGAGGTATTGTCAGGAGCATTCTGCCATAATCACTCTTCTATTACCTGTGGTCAAGTCCAATTAGTGAACGTATGAAGCATCAAGAGGTAAAAAAAAAATATATATTACTCAAGAAATAGTACTCTAGCCTCCTTGTAATTCTGTCATTTCCCATCAGTGGTCAACAACTTCCCGGGAGTACCAGGAAGTGTCGTTCTACTTCGGTTCTGAATATGAAAGTAAACATTTTCATGATCCGAGAAAAAAGCTGGAGGGAACCCAGCAATTTCCATTCCATCTTAACTAAAAAAAAAGATAAAAGATCATCATTCAGAAAAGACGATGAAATAACTGAACAGAGAACGTCACGTGACTTGTTCCTCGTCTTGGAAAAAAATTATAAACATATTCATAACATCCGGAAGAGACAAACACCATTCCTGTTCCATGCCCAGATGAAGAAAAAATATATATATATATATAATTTCTCTATATCTGGACAAGACGGAAGAGAGACTAAACCTTCCTTCCCTGTTCCATGTCTACAAGAAACAAATAAGATATATTCTCGACATCTGGAAAAGTCGGAAGGGAAAAGCCGCATCTTCCGTAGGTAAATCTTGTCAAAGTTTCCCCTACGTGGGCTGGAGGTGTGGGGGATCAGTCGGTGATGTTGGGGTTGGTGTAAGAGAACTCCTTGAACGCCGCCTGGTCCATGGTGGCCAAGATGCTCTCGTCCAGGGGCGTGATGGCTGCTTGACGCTTAGTGAAGAGTGGGTCGAAATACTGTACGTCCAGGATATGACGCTGTAGGAAGGGAGAAAGTGAGAATGAATAAAATATAGTTAGTACAGCAGGTGTGAGATAATACAGTAATATGGAAGGAGAAAAAAATGCATACAGTGTTCAGTTCGATTACAAAGATCAGAATTAGTCCAGAAGTCAAGCAGCATCATCCTCTCTCTCTCTCTCTCGGCCATCTTGTAAAGTACTCACCAATCTGGGTTTATAAGGCGTCTCTACCTCCTTCCTCTCAATCTTGTTCCAATCGATGTACTTAAAGAAGGGATGGACCTTGATTTCTCCGTACGGGCTGAAAGGAATACCGAGCCGCTTGTTGCTGTCCTTGTCCAGTAGCTGTAAGAGATATGGTAGTAGTTATTGATGTGTCTTATAGAGTCTGTAAACAAAACTATCGAGTGTGTTAATTTTGTTTCCTGGATTGGTCTCTCTCTCTCTCTCTCTCTCTCTCTCTCTCTCTCTCTCTCTCTCTCTCTCTCTCTCTCTCTCTTCTCCCGTCTCTCTCTCTCTCTTCTCCCGTCTCTCTCTCTCTCTTCTCCCGTCTCTCTCTCTCACACACACACACACACATACACACACACACGCACATACACATACACACACACTGCGTATTAGTCTGGTTTCACCATTCTATTCCTGGATGAACCGTGAATTGCAGGGACCACAGATAGCAGGACTATGGTTGCTCATTCATCTCTTGGTGACTCGGACCATTGCCAGGACCCCGCACCAATGTCCACTTCAAATATTGGACAAAATATTTTATATCCAGTTTTATTGGTGTTTTTTGTTTTGTTTTCGTTTTGTTTTTTGTTTTTGTTTTTTGTTTTCAATTAACTGGTATTTCCTTCATTGTTCTTAAGAGTCATGGAGGTTCATTATCAAGTCTTATTGTAGTTATGACGCCATATTTCTTACCATCTTCTTATAGCAGCTTTGTAGTGAGTTAAGAAGTTCGGTTTCATATTATCTCTTAGGAGTAGTTGGACATACCAAGAGGTGAGACTTTACACCTATACAGTGAGGCTGAGAGGTATGAGGAGAGTCTCAGTTAAAGTATAGCCATGAGTCTCTCTTAACACAGACTCTTAAAAAGCTTTGTACATTAAATTAATCCCGCAGTACTTGAAGACTTAAGAATTCTTTGTTACTTTGTACACGTAAGACACGACACAATAATGGTGGTCAAAATGGAGTTTAAATTACACAGAGACTATACCGTAACTTAAGTGTGTTCTGTTCTCTTCACTCGGGAGCAAACGTAGAAATTTTAGGTGAATTTGGTCCTTGCTGACCTGAGATTTGGGAACACCTCTAACTGGCAGGTTTTAGTCACGACACGAAATTGGCAGTCAAATATAAGTCGAAATTTCACTAATAGTAAAAAAGTTGCCAGATACGGTGAGGTAGCCCCTAGGTGCGGGAATATATACCGTAGGAATGTGAGATCCGGAGTGTGCCGCCCGGCCGGCTGACCGCTGCAGGCAAAAGCTTCCTTGTTTCTCTTTCTAACTATTTCGTTGCAATTTCTTGAGCGTATTTTATTATGCATTGTAGCCATGATATAGGAAGCAATATTCCTTTGCACGGGTTAAGTTACGATTTTCATAACACAGCGACCAACCTTGGCGGTTTGGTAGAATAACGGTGATTGGCTGCAGCTTAAGTTAGCGATATCCAATGAAACGTTGTAACAAATGACGTAATCCTGGAGGAGGCGGCCACCTGGGCCCTCACTCCTCGCCTGCTATCATTGTAACTCCTGCTAATAACACTAACCTCAATATTAAATAACACACACACACACACACACACACACACACACACACACACACACACACACGTAGCTAGTGATAAACAGACTGTATAGAGAGCTAAATAGTAATATAAACTGACAGACTAACAGACAGATATATCACGAGACAGGTAGATAGTAAAGCACACACAAACTGTCGTAGCTGTGAGGATGACGTTTGAGGCTGACCTGCTTCAGGATGTTGGAGGCCTCCTTGGAGAGGAACTTGGGGAAGAAGGGCTCGTCGTTACAGATGAGCCAGAAGAGGTGGTCCTCGTCGCAGCCTTTGAAGGGGGACTTGCCAGTGAGCATCTCGTACAGCAGCACCCCGAAGCTCCACCAGTCTACACATTGGTTGTAGTGTTGACCTTTGATCACCTGAGACACACATAAGAGTTACTTGTACTACATAATTATCGTGATCAGGCTCTTAACAATCACCTGAGACACATAAGAGTTACTACATAATTATTTATTATTCAATATAAAAGCCTTCTAATATTCCTTCCTCATGTCTGTTTTGATCAGTGACAAATTTTCTCGTAATTTCAGTTTTGGTTTTTATAGATTCTTATCTTAATTCCGTTCTGATGGTTTGTATTGTTTACCCAGCCTTACCTCTAGAGTGCCACATAGACCAGCCTTACCTCTGGTGCCATATAGTCTGGGGTGCCACAGAAGGTGTCGGCGTAGCGGTCAAGATACACTTGTAGTTTACACATGCCGAAGTCTGCGATCCTGATGTGACCTTGGTAGTCTAGCAGTATGTTGTCCAGCTTAAGATCTCTGGAGGAGTAATAACAACATGGTCACCTCGGGGATGGAGCGTGTACGTATAAAGTCTTGTATACATGTACGTTATAGCGTCTACTTTCTTACATACATACATACGTTCAGGTCTACATACAGGTGGATGTTATTGAACGTGTGTGCTTATTTTATATTGGAGGACATAATTAGATATAGGTGTTTATTATGTCGATTGATTTCAAACAAAAACAAGGTAATAGATAATCCCCCTCACCTTTAGATAATCCACCTCACCTGTACATAATTCCCCTCACCTGTAGATAATCCCCCCTCACCTGTAGATAATCCACCTCACCTGTACATAATTCCCCTCACCTGTTGATAATCCCCCCTCACCTGTAGATAATCCCCCTCACCTGTAGATAATTCCCCTCACCTGTACATAATTCTCCTCACCTGTAGATAATCCCCTCACCTGTAGATAATCCCCCTCACCTGTAGATAATTCCCCTCACCTGTAGATAATCCCCCTCACCTGTAGATAATCCCCTCACCTGTAGATAATCCCCTCACCTGTAGATAACTCTCACCTGTAGATAATCCCCTCACCTGTAGATAATCCTCACCTGTAGATAATCCCCCTCACCTGTAGATAATCCCCCTCACCTGTAGATAATCCCCCTCACCTGTAGATAATCCCCTAACCTGTAGATAATCCCCTCACCTGTAGATAATCCCCTTGCTGTGGAGAAACTTGAGGCCAGAGGTGATCTCGGCGGCGTAGAAGCAGGCCCGGAACTCGTCAAATCGTCCACAGTGTTGTATATGGAACATGAGGTCCCCGCCAGTGAGGTACTCCATCACGAAGAACAAGTGTGACTGTGGAACAAGAACATAATAAGAAATTGTAAGAAAGAATAGTGAGAACTTTTGTAATAGGAAGAACCCTAATAAGTCGAATATGTTTGAGTAATTTTCCCTATTAGCTGTTGGTAAAGGGTAATTATTTAGTTAAGATATAATCCCGACTAACTAGTGATAAATGAATGTGTATAGTTAATGCATGCATAGACTCGGTTTAATTTCGTACAGTAGATGGTGTTAAGTGAACGTATCTTGTTAAGGTAAGATTAGGATTCATGAAACATCACTTACGAGTAAATTTCCCCCTTATGAAAGCCTTGTGAATCCAGGCCTCTGAGCTGTTTATGAGACGAACAAAGAATTTCACGTTCCAATTAACTTTCCATTAGTCAACCTAGCGGAAAATAATGCCCCTTTATCCTCACAGTGAGTAGATGAAAGGGAAACCTACACCTGTCTGTAGTCATATCACTGTTGTCCCTTTCCTAGGAATATGTTGTTATTGAAGGACATTGTGGTATAGTGTAAACAGCTCGGGGAATGAAACTATGATATATTGTACACGTTATTCAGAGTCACTCATGCGTGTAAAGGCTTAGTTATCGATCTTGGTTGGCCATTGTACACAAGGAACTGTTATTAATTTACTTTACCTGTGACACATACAGGTATGTTTGTGGGGGGGGGGGAGGTGTAGTGATGGGAGGATGCTTGAGGGATGTGGAGGTGTAGAGTAAGTATTAGGGATTAGGTTTTACTTAGCGTTCTCGTCAAAGAGGATTGGGCCTCATTAGGATTCAGTTTGACGTATCATCCATTACAACTGGGCCCCAATCCTTGTAACACTGGGGCCTGTTAAGAGAACCAAGACTCGACCCCCATGTGACCCCTCATTTAAACAACACCTGAGACTGTGAACTCTCCTCTCTACTATGATGTACATCCTGGCTATGTTAAACCCATCCTGCGAGTATCCTGCCATAACATGTCCGGATGTCTGTTGATTAGCGTAAAGGAAATTGGACATGAATAGGTTGACGGGGGGGAAGGAGGTGACAAGTATACAAGGTTCATTTGCATATACGAACCAAGGAAAACCATTGCATTGTATTCAAAGCTTCAAATGTAGTGGTAATGATATGTGTGTGTGTGTGTGTAGAGGGTTAAATATACACTGATAAACTAAATACACACATACAAGACTTGTATACACCATCACAAGTATCCACACACACTACCCCTCCCCCTCCCCCCATACACACTACACCTTTCCTAGATCTAGCCTCCATTACACTCACCTGGATCCCGAAAGAACAAGTCTAGTAAGTCTTCCTTCCCTTCCCTTCCCTTCCATTCCCTGCCTTCAAGACACTTAATTATGCGATTAAGTCATTAGCCTCAAAGGTCAAAGGTTAACCCACGAGTGATAAATGATGAAGCTGAAGAAAGTTAATGATTCTTGCCTGTAACTAGTTAATTAATGGTCTTTATTAAGGGTGTTGGGGTTGTCGGTGTGATGAGTTAGTGTTAGTGTGATGACTTATTGTGATGACGTTAGTGTGGTGACGTTAGTGTGATGACTTAGTGTGATGACGTTAGTGTGATGACGTTAGTGTGATGACTTAGTGTGATGACGTTAGTGTGATGACTTAGTGTGATGACTTAGTGTGATGACGTTAGTGTGATTGACTTAGTGTGATGACTTAGTGTGATGACGTTAGTGTGATGACTTAGTGTGATGACTTAGTGTGATGACGTAAGTGTGGTGACTTTCATCGTGGGTGTCATGAAAAATAAAATAAAACAGAAATAAAAATAAAACAATAAAAGTAAAATGTCAATAACAAATTAAAAATATGAAAAAAAACATAAAAGAAAAATGGTATAAAATATTATTTTTTATTTTTTAGAAATGTTGAAACATTTTCCTTCTGTATTGTAGTGCTGTCCCCTCACCCCACCCCTCTCTCTCTCTCTCTCTCTCTCTCTCTCTCTCTCTCTCTCTCTCTCTCTAACACAAATTAATCTTTTCAGAAACTAAGAGTGTTCAGTTCTGGGTGATCGAAAAGTTCCTGTGCAGCTGACAATAATGAACACTGTAGTATAATCCCTTGTTGCACATTATAAGGTGTATAACATTGTATATAACGTTGTTGATTATATTACAGATGCACAGGGACTTTTCGATCACCCTTGTATAATGAAAGTAAATACTACTTGTAGTTTAATAATGACTGGTAAAGGCTTCGATAAAATTCATACGCGTTCTCGAGTCTTTAATTCCTGACCAGAGTGTGAGGGCCGTATTGTCGTCCCCTGCTAACCGGGAGGACAGACAGACAGACAGGCAGAGATTGGAATTAAATTTTTTCTCTATCCCTGAAATTAAGCCGAGGCTGATAGTTCAAAGTGTTCAGTACACAAGGTCGCTCGCTTTAAAAGAGTTCAGACGATCACTTGTCTTGAACACAGTTGGTCAGTTGTTGGCATTTATAAGGTCATCTAGAAAAGTTCATAAGGTGACCTCCAGACGTTCATAAGGTCAGCTGGACAGAGATCACGAGGTCACTAGCCGGAGGTATAGAGTTCAGCGACCAGTTGTACATCTTGTTGCCGGCGACAGTGTAAAGAGATAAACAGATGCGTCAGAAGCCTTAATTTTAGAGTGTTTTTTTTTATCTTCCTCCCTTCACAACCTCACTAACGTGGGCACACCTTAATAAACTCTATTGAGACCCAACACCTGCTGACACATCCTTGGAGACACATCCTTGGAGACACATCCTTGGAGACACATCCTTGGAGGTCGCCTTAAGAAAATGACGCTTGGTTAACGAGCCCAGGAGACGACCCTATGGACACTGAGAGAGAGAGAGAGAGAGAGAGAGAGAGGAGGAGAGAGAGGGGGGGGAGAGAGAGAGAGAGAGAGAGAGAGAGAGAGAGAGAGAGAGAGAGAGATGGGGGCTCACTGTGAATGAGCTCGTCAGTGGGGTAAGGGCAAAATGACCGTAATGCCGTCGTGTTTAAGTTTTAATGAGGCGAGAACCAAGTTATTTAACCTCCCACCTCACCCACCCCCCTTCACCCACCTCCCCCCTTCACCCACCTCACCCACCCTCACCCACCTCCCCAACCTCACCCACCTCACCTCCCCTTTGTTCTTCCTCACGGTGTTCTTTTCGGAGGTGTTCTTGTTGTGATCTTGTAAGAGGCTCCAAGTTCTAATTGGCACAACTTTATCGAACCTAATTGAATCCCCTCTTAATAGATCCTTGTTGTAATTGGTTCATGCCCTAATTAGGTTAGAGTGTTAGGTTATGTTAGGTGGGGTTGGGTTAGGTTAGGTTTTACTTGTACTGGGATCCATTTAGATTTTCGACCCTCAAACCTATCCCAGATATGTGTACCACCACCACCACCACCACCACCACCACCACCAGCAGCAGCACCACCACCACCACTAGCTTCACCACCACCACCACCACCAGCAGCACCACCACCACCACCACCACCACCACCACCACCAGCAGCACCACCACCACCACTAGCTTCACCACCACCACCACCACCACCACCACCAGCTTCCGCCGCCCACCTAATACCCAGCTTCACCTACCCACCTACCACCCAATCTTACCCGCCCACTACTCAGCCTCCCTCCGCCCACCACTCAGTCTCCCCAGGTCCACCGCCCACAGCCCACCACCCAGTCTCCTTCCCACCCACCATCCAGCCTCCCCCCGCCCACGACCCACCGCCCACCACCCAGCTACAGGCTAATATAGTGCTGGACGCTGGCCAACCTGCCGTCTCCTGCCTGCTGCCTCTACCTCTGCTCCTGCTGCTGTATCCCTCTGCTGTTTCCTGCTGTGTCCTACTGCTGTTTCCTGCTGTGTCCTACTGCTGTGTCCTGCTCTGCCCTGTTGCTGTGTCCTGCTGTGTCCTGCTCCTGCTGTGTCCTACTGGTCCTGCTGTGTCCCACTGCTGTGTCCTGCTGTGTCCTACTGCTGTGTCCTGCTGCTGTGTCCTGCTGCTGCTGTGTCCTGCTGTGTCCCTACTGCTGTGTCCTGCTGTGTCCTGCTGTGTCCCTGCCGCTGTGTCCTGGCTGTGTCCTACTCTCTGTCCTGCTGTTGTTTATCTGCCTCTTGTGTGAGCATGTATATGTGCATGTTTTGTTGTGTGTATATAGATTAGTATGTACGCGTGTGTGTGTGTGTCCATATTATATTATTTATCTTAATTTAGGTAATTACAATGGAAGTCCTTCTCGCCATTCTCTCACTTAAACAATTTTCTCTAAACTTCTTCTTCCTCTTCTCTTTCACAAATCACTAGATAAAACTTCTCTTTATTTACACAACTCATTTAACCAATCTTTACTACTTTTTCTCATAGGCTTAAACAATTTTCTCTAAACTTCTTCTTCCTCTTCTCTTTCACAAATCACTAGATAAAACTTCTCTTTATTTACACAACTCATTTAACCAATCTTTACTTTTTCTATAGGCTCCGCAGGCTGATCAAGGCTTCTCAGGTTCCACTAGGCTCCCCAGATTCCTCAAGGTTCCACTAGGCTCCCTAAATTCCACAAGGCTACCCCCTCTCAGGTTCCCCAGTTTCCCCAAGGCTCCCCTCTCAGGCTCCTCAGATACCTCAAGGCTCCTCCCTAGGCTCCTCAGGTACAGTAATTTAAGAAAACATCAAAATGTTATGCTCACAGTGGCTCAGGAGTCTCACAGTGCCTCAGGAGACTCCATATTGTCCTAAGTACTCGTTAATTACCTCTGACACACCTGGTCCACCTGTCCTTTATATCTCGATAGGGACTTTGATGTCTTTCATTTCTTTGCTATTTTCTCGTTTTATTTTTTGTTCTTTGTTTTATTTGTTGTCTTGTTTCGTTGTATTTTTATTTTATTTTTAATTTTTTCTCATCTATTTATTCTCCAATTTTTTTTTTTCCTCTGTGTTACCTGCAGGTATTTTTTTGTGTGCGTACGTGCGTGCGTGTGTGCTTATACAAGTATACCTATACTCTTCACGGTATATGAATTATGCATAGGTATGTATACGTGTTTATGTATCTATCTGTGTGTATGTTATGTCTTTGTGTACATTCATCTCAATATGTTATTTAATATATACATGTCAAAACGAAGCCCAACTCACAAAGAGACATTCAACACTAAGTAAGAAACAAGTATCTATTTTTACGCCGTCTTATAAAAATGGTCATATTGGACTGAATTATCATTTTTACGATGAGAGCATAACCTTGGCGACGACCCAACACCGCAAGAACACAGCACGCAACTCCTGGACCCTCGCCAACCCAAGCTCAGACGCCACGGGTGTTCCAGAGGGGTGTTCCAGGGATGTTCCAGCGACGGAGAGAAATAGATAGGATGTTACGTAGGTGTTTCAGAGTTGGGCCTAATATGTTCCTGATAGTGATAGTCCAGAGGTGTTTCAGAGATGATCCTTAGTGTTCCCGTGTTCCAGAGGGGTTCCATAGCTTTTCAGTAGACTGGATGATGATCGCTCGTAGACTGGGTTTAAGAGAGGGTCAGTTGATCCTCTTATTTCACGCGGGATAAAGAATAAAGCTGCAACACCCTTCATTCAGATGGTTCATATCTTACACAGGCGGTATAAAGTAAGAATCAATTTTAATGCTTCAATGAACATAAAGAGAGTTTTTGTGCCGTGGTGGAGAGTTTGTGGTAGAGGCGTCAATACCTCTTTGTGTGTGTGTGTGTCTTGGGGAGAGAGGGAGAGGGAGGGAAAGAAAGAGATTGAAAGAGAGAAAGGGGAGTAAAAGAGTGAAGGAGAGAGAGAGTGAGTGAGTAGCGTCATACTTTTCGGGACTTCAAGTAACAAGACCGAGGAGAGTAAAGTTTACAAACCAAAAGCTGATAAATAAGAGTATTGGCTGACCACTGGGAGCTTGATATACTGGCGGGAAGTTCAGAGATAAGACCACGATAGCTTGACAGATCTTAGATAAGCAGTGGGAAATATTGTTAACTCGCCTGGGAAATATTTTGTGTGTGTGTGTTTTAGAAGATGTAGTGTCATTACAATTAGTATTATATAACTAACATATTCCCATATACTATTTTGCTTGAAGGTATAGAGAAGAAGACAGATGGAAGGTTGTAAAAGACTTACGTAGGAGTATGGGGAGTGGAGAGGAGGGGTAGAGGGTGTATAATCCTGACAGGAAATATAATCTATAAGTCGCTATTGAAGAAGGAATACGAGTGTGCGTAGGTGTCACTTACTGGAGTCTGGAAGGTGCAGAAGAGGTGGCAGAGGTATGGATGTTTGGTGCCTAAACTCAACACTTTCCTCTCGATGAGCGTACACTCCACGTCGTTGTCCTCCAGCACCACGTCCTTCTTCAGGCACTTGACGGCGAAGTAATTCTCCGAGTTCTTCTGCTGCGCCAACATCACCTGCGGGAGGAGGGACATATATAGTCACAGGTTGGCCCACCTTCGGTACGTCTCACTATAATCCTGGTTGAAGACGAGACTACGATCTATGTCAAGTTAATCCCTTAAGTAAGATGACTCAACTCCTTGGCTATAATACTATCGTACTCAAAAGATTTAAGATGTCTTACTCAATGGGTTAATTCATTGTACTTAAGGGGTTATGTTGTCTTACTCCGAGGGTTAATCGTCTTACTCTGGGGTTTAAGTCGTCGTACTCTGGGGGTTAAGTCGTCTTACTTGGGGGCAAAATCTACGTATTCTTGGGGTTATGTCTCCAGTTCTTTACATATTTAGACAACACGAGTCGACATTTAATCTGCTGACACATATATAGATATAGGAACGAAGTTTGGGTTCCCTGAAAGTTGGTTTCATTATCTAATGTTTATCAGGTAGGAAAGTTTTAAAAGTACAAGCGAGACGTTTGTTGAGCTTGTGTGTAGTTAAGGAGTCGGCGGCAGAGTAACGATAACAGCCTCCCCAGACTTATTGGATTAAATAAATAAAAAATCATGTCTATCGTAAAATGTGTGTGTGCGTGTGCGTGTGCGTGTGTGTGTGTGTGTGTGTGTGTGTGTGTGTGTGTGTGTGTGTGTGCGCCAACATATATTTATCGTGTATGTATTGTAAGTGTACCTGTGTGTGATATATACAGTATATTTACGGTGTGTATGAAGGGGGGCAGTCCTTAGTCACAGACACACAAAGGCGAGATATTGTCTGGATAGAACACGTACTCGAGGCTTCACGTCACCAAAGGAATCCTAAATGAAGCCTAATGAACTGGAAACGCTAAAATTGCGTTCAAGCGGCAAAGAGCATCAAAGGAAGCCTAACAGGGCCGGAAGGTCGTCAATAGCAGCCAACCGCGACCAAGAGGGGGAGTTGGTGGCGGCGGGTGAGTGATGGTGTACGACTTCCCCAGGATAACGTCAAGAAGAGGCCCGTCAGCGTCCGGGACAGGTCTCCCGCTACCGGAGTGAGGCTCCCTGGCGCCGGAGTGGAGCCCTGTCCTACCATACAAGGCTCCCCGCTGCCAGAGAGAGAGAGAGAGAGAGAGAGACTCACTTTCTCCCAAACAGGAACTCGCCCTCTAAGTGGAAGCAATTTTGGACATTCTTCCCAAGAAGACTCGACCTTCTGCCAGGGAAGGGTCCAACCTCTGGCAGGGACTTGCTTTGCCAGAACAGAGGGGCACGTCTCCACAGAAGCAACGCCGTCCCGTGTTGCTAATGGATGTTACTGCACTGTCAGGGAAGGGTGAGGGGACTATGTTCAAAGGTGAGACCAAGGACGCGCTCTGTGTGAGGGGGGGGGGGTGTTATCATGACAGCCAGCCGTCGTCAGTAGCTGCTAAATAAGTAAGAATGTTTTAGTTTCTGTGTAAAACATAATTATATTACAGTACTTCCCATTTTCCTTCACTATGATGAGGCCTATCTCAGTATGGCTCAGGGTGGTGGCGAGGATTGGGAGTAATACCATCACTCCCCATCACTTATATCCCCATTATTACTCATCACTTACCTTCCCATCACTCCCCATCACTTCCCATTCTCACCTCCCCATCAATCACCTCTCCCATCACTCCCCTCCCCATCACTTCCCATTCTCACCTCCCCATCACTCCCCTCCTCATCACTTCCCATTCTCACCTCCCCATCACTCCCCTCCCCATCACTTCCCATCACTCACCTTCCCATAACTGCCCTTCCCGAGGACCTTGATAAAGTCGAAGTCCTCAACGTTATATTTTTTAAACTTGGGACACGTCTGGAGAGGAGGTCTGATCTCTGGCAAACCAAAGTAATCGGTGCTGCTGTCGGTGTCCGTGGTGTCCGTCTCCTCCTCCGTTGTCTCGCCCTCAGAGCCACACACCGAGGACGAGGGCTTGCTAGGGGAGGCCAGGGTGCGAGGGCTGCCGTCAGTGCTACCTGGTGATGGAGAGAGACGGAGGTGGTGAATGTAGTGGTGACGAGAGAGAGAGAGAGAGATGAGGATAATGTGTGGTGGTGGAGAGGCAGGGAGATAACAAGTGAGAGAGAGAGAGAGAATGAGAGATAGCTCATTATAGATCCCTCATATCCAGCGTGTGTTTATCAGTAAATCTATATAGGTACAAATCGACAGCTGCTTCTCTCTCTCTCTCTCTCTCTCTCTCTCTCTGCTTAAAGACCAGAGTGGAGCCTTGAACGAGGAAATTTAGATCATAATTGTACATATTTTATTATTTACTTTATATAAACAGTATAATAAAGTCATTTTCGCCGCCTTGTGTTTTGTTGATCTAGAAATTATTAACTTTCCTGAGCACACTTGAATTGACTCAGCTGCCATGCGACTTGAGACACGAGTGAATGGGGACAATATGTCTCTGATTGGTCAATTAATTGGTTGGCAATAGATGGCGCTGACGTTGAAGTTGTCGTCCACGTTCAGTTAGTAACTTAAGCTGATATAATCGGAAGTTATAATGCGTCATAATGTACCGTTTACCAAGTTGTTGCTGTGAGGTTGTTATCGCTCGCGTCTACCTTCTTACAGCTGATATTTTACCACTATATCTTACAGTAGTTCATAACAATAGAATTACCTAAACAACAATCGCATTTCAAAGCCATTAGTAGGTACAGGTAGAGGGAAAAATAACCAAAAATACTCGTGTTTTGATACTATCGGCAACTGTGTTTACATCCGGTTATACTCGCCAACCAGAGTACGCCACGTCATATATGGCCGCTCTCTGACACTTATTTCTTGGCACAGTTGGAATTCCTTACATAATTACAGTTTAAATGCAGCTTGAAATAAGTTTGTAAATGGTGATGACTATACATTAGACAGTACTGTACAAAAAGGTAATCAAGTTTTTTATTTTGTTTTTATTCTGTAACTTTATAATGAAGACGACATCGTT